AAATGTTTTATGAATTTTACGATGCCCGTTCATGTCTGATATAATGCACGGGGGCACCTAAGGTCTTCAGCAGTATGGCTGGAAAGTCGCCATATGACATAAAGTGTGTCGGTGTGACGTAAGACCCAAACAAACAAACAAATCCTTACTTTATAGAAGGTCCCATTATAACCATCATGTGAACACATCTGCGATGTTTCCAAATTTAAATTTTAACCATTTCATGTTAAATGTTGACTTAGGCTTAAGCCGGTTATAGGAGGTGTGGACAGTAGCTTGCTGTTACCACTACAGTCCATGCTCAATCAAACTAAATCTGCAACATTTTCCATTTCGCCATGTTGTACTTTCCTTATGAATTTTTTATCATTATTATTATGATCAATTTATTTACAAAATATAATGAACAAGATCGACAAGGAAAGACGCAGTTTAATAAAGTACAACACATGTTCATGTGATATTATTTATCAAACGTGTCCGTTTTTGTCTTGCAATACTTCAATTATATAAGCAGTCAGTGTAAGTTTACAGGTTTATCAATACTTGTGTTTTTCCGGAGAAACAAATAAGGTAAGATGTTTATTCCTTTTATTTGTGATTGTTTATATTTGAAAGCAATTTAGAAGAAATTACGGAAATTGGCAAAGAACTAATATAAGTCTTCTCTTATGATAATATTTTATTTCAGAATCACTTGTAATTATTGTTATTCAATATCTTATTTCATATGTATTAATGAAACATTTATTATTCTGTTACGTTTTAACAACTTTCGTGAAAAATGTTTATATGTATTTCTAGTAGTTTTGATGTATAAAGAAAAACATATAAATGTAAAAGTTAAATAAAATTTTCTTCTTCTTTTCTTTATTTTTATCTGTCATTATTTATTTGGTAAATGAATTAGGAGGAAATACGACGAAAATGAAACAAGAAGTATCTTTAAAGAAAAAAGATACTCGGCCGAAGTAATACTGATTAAGTTGCATATGTTCTTAGTTTTCCATGCAAAATCGTAAATGTGAGCAATCACGTAATAATTTCGTGTAGGGTTATTAATCTGGAAAATGGAACATTTTAAGATGTATGTATAATTAAACAAACATATCGTGTTTCCGTAAGTTAACTCAATATCTAACACGAACATCTCAGCAGTCGACGAGCAAGTATTTTCGCGTCACGACAAAACCAACATAATGGGTTTGCGACCAGCATGGATCCAATCCGCGCAGTCTGGTCAGAATCCATGCTGTTCGCTATCAGTTTCTTTACTTGTTATAGGGTCTGTAAGCGAATAGCATGGATTCTGATCAGACTGCGCAGACGCCGCGCAGGCTGCTCTGGATCCATGCTGGTCGCAAACACATTATGTTGGTTTTGTCGTGACGCGGCTCAAATACTTGAATAATATGCGAAAATGTATAAAAAATATAAATTTTATCAAATAAAAACATCATTAATCATGTAATATATTAGTCAATTATTGAACATCGTAAACTTAGGGTATCTGATAAGTTCTGATATTGTGCTCATGTTGACAAAAATGTAAAACAAAATATACACAGTAAGTTCTCACGTAAAATAAACTATCCACTAGAAAATGTAATGTGATCTTGAAGCTATGTAAAATGTTTTGTGGGAGGAAGTATTGCAAAACATAACTTAAATATCTGAGTATTTTAACAAGAAAGTTAAATAACTATCCTGTACATTATATTTTAGAATTATCTAACAAGAACTATCCTTTATATTATAATTTATATGTCGCTTTGCTTTTATTTTGACGTTGTGTGACCCATTTACAAAGGCTATCAAAATTTTGGCAGTTCGCAGTTTAGTTATTCAAATCACACTTATTAATCAAAATTGGGTCAAATAAAAATACCATTTGGAAATCAAATAAATTTTGATTTCAAAAATGAAATTTTAATGACATCGTGTACCTTACTCATTGTTACGGAAATATGTAAAGATTGTCTACCAATATGGAGTCTGCTTTCAAATGAAATCTCGCGGGAGAATTCTAGCATTGGACCATACACTATTTTAAGAACTTTACTATTTTAGATAAATACAAAAAATAAAAATAAAAAATTATTAATCATCACTCACAAAAATATGAATTCAGCATATTTTTGTTGTTTTTTTTGTTGCCCTTTGTTAATTTTCTAACTTTATTTTTGCCCCAGCCATTTCACTTAAACCATAAAAGCTATGGACTTGAAACTTCACAGGATGTTAGATCTCATTGAGAAGAAGTGCGTGCAGTGTACAAGAAGCGGCACTCTGCACTTCTTATTTTTTTAGTTATTGCCCTTTGTTTATTATAAAACTTTATTTTTGTCCAGGCCAATTCACCTACACTTTAAAAGCTATTGACTTGAACTTTCATAGGATGATAGATCTCATTGAGTAGAAGTGCAGTGCACAAGAACTTGTACTCTGCACTTCATTATTTTTGAATTATTACCCTTTTGTTAATTTTCTTACTTAATAGGCTTGCCCAGAGCATAACTTGGTCACTATAAATTTGATTGAATCCAAATTTGGTATGTTAGCTTTTTTCATTGACCTGAAGTGCAGTGCTAAAGAATCCATCACAGAGTACTCCATTTGATTTGTCAGAGTAAAACTTTCCATTTTTTTATATTTTTGATAATATAACAGTTTTATTAATCCATATGTAACATTGTTTCAATCAGTTCAAATGCTACTAAAATTAAAGGTACATGTACATTGTTAGAGCAGTGAAGAAAATGCCTAAGTGGCAGCAATATTGTTCATAACTCGCTGAGTTCTAATTCTGTTTATTTTCATCTAGAAAATACACTTCTGTCTATTTACTCCTTATTAATTTATTTCTTTCATTCTAACAATAGTTCAGTTTATTCTTTAAAGCATGCATGTTTTCCGAGTCACTGATCCATCTGTTCGGCATAATTGTATCGGACAAAATAGTTTTACTGTCTACTGTTGTTAAGTTGGCTAATAAATTGTACGAATTAAAATTGTAATAAATTAATAGTATACATGTATATTGTGATTCAGATATCCACCTGATGATGCAGACAATGTCCGTACTTATCAATGTAAGCAATATTTTAATTTCCTTGATTTAAAAATACTTCGTTGTGAAAAATACTTCGTTGTGAAAAATTTAAAAGAGACATACATGTAAAGACAGTAACAATACAGTGGTATAACATATTTGACAAAAGGATTGCCCCACGAGTTTTCCTGCTCGTATTGCCTTAATACGAATATTGTTTTCCTCAGAAAATATTGAAATTAAAAATGAATTGAAAACATATCACATATATGTTAATGTTGCAAATATGAGCAATGGTTACCTAATGAAGCTATTTTAGTGTAATAAAATGATTTCAGATTGTTTTGGCGATAACGATCATTCAGAATGCTGATTGTAATGGCCCATACCTACAAAATTGTGAAACTGATTTACAGGTACTTATTACAAATGCTCACATATTCATATTTAATTTTCTTTATCTAGTTTATTTTCAATTCATTTCTATCAAGGTAAACTGTAAATCCAGATAAATGCATTATATTTAAAAGATTGTTGCAAGTAATGAAAAGTTTTTTAAGAACCTGTTATTTATTCGAAATTTGGTGAATCTAAACAGTGTCCAGACGGCTACGCATGTCTTCGGCCAGGCTATGGTGAAGCGAGTGCAAAAGCACAGATGAAATGTTACCCATGTAAGTACATTGATATAAAAAGTAAAATAAGAACAAGATATATTTTGAAAAATGATACATATCTATGTTAAAAATGAAAATAAAGCGTCGTTTCTGAAAGAGTAATGTTCTGCGTTCGAAATAATCTAATGGACACACCTTATTATACTGGAACGAAATGCTATCAATTTATTTGAATTTCAGCTGCTTTTTTAAGATCCTGTATGTTTTGTGATTGAAATTGTTACTGTTTGTATACCACATTTGCAAAAAAATAAATATGTATAAAATTATGCAAATAAAACAATTTTCAAACATCAATGAATATGTACTGCAAATATTTGTGCACATTATATTTAATCAATAAATTATATGCATTCATTTTTTATTGGAAAATTTGACTAAATAAATTTCTAATTACCTCCCTTTATTTACATGAAAGTTTAAATTCGGTAATATCTTGATAAATAATGCTTATTGGAACTTACAATATTGACAAATCTTAATTTGAGCATCATATTCACGAAATAAAACCATGAAAAAAATGTGTTACTGGATCTTTAAGGCATCCTTTATTGTTGTAGTTTTTTCTGCAGAGTTGGCCATAGTGCCTTCAGTATAGTTTTAAGTTCAATAAATATATGTATACCTTTACTTTAATGATCGACCTTCATGTACGACTGAAATACTATATATTAGAATTATATAAATGAACATACAATTGTTAGAGTACATAAGACCCATTTTTTTTCTTATTGCATTCTTTGAAATTCCTTTTTTTCTAAACAGGTTGCTGTCGGGAAAAAACACAGTGTTATATAAAAAGCAAATTAAGTGGCATAAACTGCGACTGTGGAGACTCTGGGTATACAGGTGCTTGTTGCGAAACAGGTTAGTACATTTTATAATCGATCATTATTGAATATTTCCTCCATAGCTGAAGAGCATTAACATAACATTGAATATAAATAAAATGCTTATTAAAGTTCGTACAAAAGATCATATTATTATATACTGTTTATATAAATACAAGATCTAAATGTACAATGTAAATGAGTAAAGAAAAGACATATTTATAATATGTACAATTATTCATATATTTACTCATATTGAAAGTTAACTAATGCAATGAATCTGTGATATCTATCAACAATTGTCAACAATTGGAAAAATGAATAAATGAATATTTTAAGCTACTTAGATGCATAGAATATCACATTCAAAATGAAATCTTGATTAATTTTTACGATATATAATCAAGAGCATCAGAACTGACAAAATCACTCATGTGAAGGCAGAAATAAAATTTAAATCATTTAAGTTGTTTAAAGTTACAATAATTTCAATTTTGAGGAAAGATGATGAACAAGTTACTAACTTAGGGAAGAATAACTTTTATAATATATAAATGGCAGCAAAAACACTTAAGCAATTAACCTTAAGCAAGGCGATTAAGATGTGTTTAAGCTAGGTCAGTTTGATATAATTTGATAGCGCAATAGGGCAAACTATGTAAATTTAAAGGAACGGAACTATTATTACATGTTAAAGAGGCATTATAAGATACAATAGAAGGGGAATTTGTTATTGGTTTTAAATTTCTAATTGATAAGCCTCGCCCTTTTCTAGCACAGACACTTGGGGTGTGGGACTCAAAACGCCTTTAAAATCCAAATTAAATGCATATTTGTCAATCCCAGCACATGCACTGATCATATATATAAAAAAACTTAATATAAGCCGTTTTGAAAAAAAAATCATATTACAACGTCTATAATAATACGCAAGATAAAAATGTTCGCCGGAAAAAATCCGCACCTCTCAATCAAAATCACCATTATTTTTTCCTTTCCAATTTTTTCACAATTTTTTTTGTATCACACAGATATATTATTTCCGTGGTAATTTTAAAATTCCGAATTAAACAACCAACCCAAAAACATCAATTTCCCCCTTTTACTTCCATTACAACTAATTAATAAATTAAAAGGGCGGCACCAGCTTTAATCAAATTTATATTTGATTGAATTTGATTTTTTTTTTTCAAAACTGCTTATATTAAATTTATCACCCAAAAGTGAAAACGGCATTTTTCCTACGTTGTACGACAATTTGTCAAATTTTGAACGCAATCCTCTAAACCGAGCAGTTTTGTTTAAAACTACCGGGGAACAAATTTTAAATGTGTAAATGGAAGTAAAAGAAAATTTGCTGCACCAATTTAACAGCATAATGACCCTTTGTTGATTTTTTCACTATATACCATATAGAAATTTTGTGAACGCAACTCCTCTTAAACCGGTGCACATCTGCAGTGGGGCATCCGTGTCCTTTGGACACAGTTCTAGTTTTCATATATATGATCAGTACATGTGCTGGGATTGACAAATATGCATTAAATTTGGATTTTAAAGGCGTTTTGAGCTCCACATCCCATGGAAGTGTCTGTGTTTTCTAGCACATATCTAGCCTCGTCTGATAAAATTGATATCAAAAGACAGTAATTCTGATTCGTTATTTTTTATTTATATATTGGCATTACATTAAATTTCGGACAATATATGGCAATAGGGCGACTGACTGGTAAAAATGAATTGTCCGAATTTCGTTTATGTCTGTTGTTTAATGTCACTCGGTTTTTAAAATTGAAGTTTCTCCGCATGTATATATATTTAAAAGATTTGATTATAATTTCATTTTTCAAGATATAAATGACTGTTACAACAATTCCTGTCTTAATGACGGTACATGTATTGACGGAGTCAACAATTATACCTGTATATGCCCAGAAGGATTCTCTGGAAGGAATTGTGAAACAGGTATCTTTGAATTCACAGAATACTACAGCTACGTGTTATTAAGTGTTTGAATATCAAATAACAAAATGTTTTCTGATAGATATTTTTCTAAATTTGTTTATTTACACGATGGACATAGAATATCTATCATTTACTGTAACGTGAACATTTTATAATTAATCTTTATTCTTTATTTCCTCCATAACTGAAGAGCATTAACATAATATTGAATATAACACACTTATTAAAGTTCGTATAAAAGATCATATATACAGTTTATATAAATACAAGATCTAAATGTACAATATAAATGAGAAAAGAAAAGGCATATTTATAATATGAAGAAACATTCATATAATTTCTCATATTGAATGATAACTAATGCAATGAATCTGTGACATCTACCAACAATTGTAAACAATTGGAAAAATGAATATTTTAAGCTACTTAGATGCATAGAAAATCACGTTTAAACCGACCTCTTGATTAATTTTTACGATTTATATCAAAAGCATCAGAACTGACAAAATCACTCATGTGAAGGCAGAAATAAAATTTAAATCTTTTAAGTTGTTTAAAGTTACAATAATTTCAATTTTGAGGAAAGATGATGAACAAGTTACTAACTTAGGGAAAAATAACTTTTATAATATTAATATATAAATGGCTGCAAAAACACTTAAGCAATTAACCTTAAGCAAGGCAATTAAGATGTGTTTAAGCTAGGTCAGTTTGATATTATTTGATAGCGCTATAGGGAAAACTATGTAAAGGAACGGAACTTTTATTACATTTTAAAGAGGCATTATAACACACAATAGAAGGGGAATTTGTTATTGGTTTTAATTTTTAATTGATAAACCTCGCCCTTTTCTAGCATTGACTCTTGGGGTATGGAGCTCAAAACGCCTTTAAAATCCAAATAAAATATTTGGATTTTAAAGGCGTTTTGAGCTCCACAACCCAAGTGTCTGTGTTTTCTAGCACATATCAGCCTCGTCTGATAAAATTGATATCAAAAGACAGTAATTCTGATTCGTTATTTTTTATTTATTAATTGGCATTAAATTAAATTTCGGACAATATATGGCAATAGGGCGACTGACTGGTAAAAATTAATTGTCCGAATTTCGTTTATGTTGGTTGTTTAACGTCACTCGGTTTTTAAAATTGAAGTTTCTCCGCATGTATATATATTTAAAAGATTTGATTATAATTTCATTTTTCAAGATATAAATGACTGTTACAACAATTCCTGTCTTAATGACGGTACATGTATTGACGGAGTCAACAATTATACCTGTATATGCCCAGAAGGATTCTCTGGAAGGAATTGTGAAACAGGTATCTTTGAATTCACAGAATACTACAGCTACATGTTATTAAGAGTTTGAATATCAATTAACACAAAATGTTTTCTGATAGATATTTTTCTAAATTTGTTTATTTACACGATGGACATAGAATATCTATCATTTACTGTAACGTGAGCATTTTATAATTAATCTTTATTTCCTCCATAACTGAAGAGCATTAACATAATATTGAATATAACACACTTATTAAAGTTCGTACAAAAGATCATATATACAGTTTATATAATATAAGATCTAAATGTACAATATAAATAAGTAAAGAAAATGCATATTTATAATATGAAGAAACATTCATATAATTTCTCATATTGAATGATAACTAATGCAATGAATCTGTGACATCTACCAACAATTGTCAACAATTGGAAAAATGAATATTTTAAGCTACTTAGATGCATAGAAAATCACGTTTAAACCGACCTCTTGATTAATTTTTACGATTTATATCAAAAGCATCAGAACTGACAAAATCACTCATGTGAAGGCAGAAATAAAATTTAAATCATTTAAGTTGTTTAAAGTTACAATAATTTCAATTTTGAGGAAAGATGATGAACAAGTTACTAACTTAGGGAAAAATAACTTTTATAATATTAATATATAAATGGCTGCAAAAACACTTAAGCAATTAACCTTAAGCAAGGCAATTAAGATGTGTTTAAGCTAGGTCAGTTTGATATTATTTGATAGCGCTATAGGGCAAACTATGTAAAGGAACGGAACTTTTATTACATTTTAAAGAGGCATTATAACATACAATAGAAGGGGAATTTGTTATTGGTTTTAATTTTTAATTGATAAACCTCGCCCTTTTCTAGCACAGACTCTTGGGGTGTGGAGCTCAAAACGCCTTTAAAATCCAAATAAAATATTTGGATTTTAAAGGCGTTTTGAGCTCCACAACCCAAGTGTCTGTGTTTTCTAGCACATATCTAGCCTCGTCTGATAAAATTGATATCAAAAGACAGTAATTCTGATTCGTTATTTTTTATTTATATATTGGCATTACATTAAATTTCGGACAATATATGGCAATAGGGCGACTGACTGGTAAAAATGAATTGGTCGAATTTCGTTTATGTTGGTTGTTTAACGTCACTCGGTTTTTAAAATTGAAGTTTCTCCGCATGTATATATATTTAAAAGATTTGATTATAATTTCATTTTTCAAGATATAAATGACTGTTACAACAATTCCTGTCTTAATGACGGTACATGTATTGACGGAGTCAACAATTATACCTGTATATGCCCAGAAGGATTCTCTGGAAGGAATTGTGAAACAGGTATCTTTGAATTCACAGAATACTACAGCTACATGTTATTAAGAGTTTGAATATCAATTAACACAAAATGTTTTCTGATAGATATTTTTCTAAATTTGTTTTTTTACACGATGGACATGGAATATCTATCATTTACTGTAACGTGAGCATTTTATAATCAATCTTTATTCTTTATTTCCTCCATTACTGAAGAGCATTAACAAAATATTGAATATAACACACTTATTAAAGTTCGTACAAAAGATCATATATACAGTTTATATAATATAAGATCTAAATGTACAATATAAATAAGTAAAGAAAATGCATATTTATAATATGAAGAAACATTCATATAATTTCTCATATTGAAAGATAACTAATGCAATCAATCTGTAATATCTATCAACAATTATCAATTGAAAAAATGAATAAATGAAAAATTGAAGCTACTCAGATGCTCAGATGCATAGAATATCACGTTCAAAGTGAAATCTTGACTAATTTTTACGATAATTATACAATTATTAAGTGTTTCATATGTCTTTTAATATGTTTTTGACAAATTGTGTATATGCGTATATACATGTATTTGATATCTGAAAACTGTGTCATTTCCACTATGCTATCAACTTTATATTCTAATTATTTGTATTCTTTTCATTTTTCAAAAAAAGCCTTAAAACCACCAACATGCATGGCAAACAATAACTGTTTTAAGACAGCTTCAGAGTGTGGAACTGGTGAGTTGTTTTTAGATGCTGAATAATGCCTCATCCTATGGTGGGCGTGAACGGTAACTTGCATGTTCTGTTACCGTTCATGAATAGGCAAAAAAATGCTGAGTCTGTAACATTTTTCTATTACATATATGTGGTTTTGTGCGTTATTTAGGAATCCTTTATTACTCTTTATTTTAACACTTTGTGTAAAACAATGTCTAGCGGTCATCTACAAAAGTAAACAAAAGTTGAATTACTCTCTTGTTTACGTTTTAGTTATTTGAGCCGCGTCACGACAAAACCAACATTATGGGTTTGCGACCAGAATGGATACAGACCAGCCTGCGCATCCGCACAGACTGATCAGGATCCATGCTGTTCGCTTACAAACCCTATTACAAGTAGAGAAACTGATAGCGAACAGCATGGATCCTGATAAGACTGCGCGGATGCTGGTCGCAAACCCATTATGTTGGTTTTGCTGTGACGCGACTCATTTATTTTCATAAGACTTACAGTTGACTTATCTAGAACATAAGGGTATTGCGCGTGTCTATCCTTCTAAATGTATGTAATTATTACAACATATAGAGGATATTCAAGTTTTTTCTATAAATACATGATTTATTTTCATTGAGTGGTATGAAAATAAATATTTCATGAGTGGCGGTAGCCACGAGTGAAATATGGTAATTTTCATGCCACAAAATGAAAATAAATCATGTATTTATAGAAAAAACTTGAATTTTCTGTTTATTATATACATTTTTCTCTTTTTTGCGATAAGATTTCCCTTAAATTTTATGTACTGGCAGAATTTAAAAGAAAGTAGTCCGGCAAGACACCAGTGAAAATACGGAAAATATGTTTCACTGCAGTGAAAAATAAATTTTTACAGAATGAAAATACGCATTTTATTTCATCAATATTTCTCAATATTTCATTTATAAGTATATAATAAACCTTTAATATTTAATATGTTTAATATACCCAATAAGAAAAAAGTGTTAATTTGTACATTAAAAGGAAAATAATTTTTATTCACTATTATTTTGTACGAAACTAAAATTCGTTTCAAGATATAATAAATATACTTCTCTTCTAGGCTGTTACATAGAGGAACAAGATCAAGATGAAGTTATCTCGAATACATGGTCAGCTTCGTTTGCGTTAATAATCTTTCCTTATGCCACAGTTGAAAGGTGCCGAAATAGATGCTTAACCTTTAATACTTGTGTTGCATATGCTTTTAACCCAACAGGAAGATCTTGCTACCTATATACCACTACACCTGCAGAGGGGTTGGTTACAGAATATTCAAATACTGATGACCTATACGTACTGAGATGCTCAAGCTGTTAGAATGCGGAAGATTATTGATTCTGAAAATGGACTTTGTATTGCTATTACTTTTATCTTATGAAACATGCTTGGAGCCAACGTTTAAAAATAAATGTATGGACAGTTTGTACATGAATTAAAAGAATTGCAAAACAAAACTGATGAATAAACTTATCCAGTAGCATTCACAAAAGTCTTCGTTTTAAATTACTGATAGCAGTTGTCTTATTCCAACTTATTCAAAGTACATTCAATTGTATTTTCTTTTTGTAATTGAAAATGTGTCATTATAGAATGTGTAATTATCAATGATTGGTGGCACTTTTTCATTATCCCTCATGTACAGACTCAATCAAAATGAGTCTGCAATTTTCATGTAATTTTGTTGCCATTAATGCTTCGAGGGATCACACTTTTTTCCAGAGTTTCAAGAGCTGTCAACATTTCACTGAATTCAGTAGCTTCACCTTAAAGAGAATAAATTGTTGTTTAATTACGTTTTAAACAGCCTAGTTTATAACAGAGACTCGGAAATAATGAAAAGTCTTGAAATTGAATTGTTTGTACGGTGTCCTTCACCGTAGATCTGAGAGATAATAATATGATGTTATGATACATGTCCATTGTTGAGTACAAGCAGTGTATACAAAAATGGAGTCCTTGACATTTATAATCAACAGGATGTGATTTTGGCATTGTTTTCGAATTTGCCAGGGTTCATATTCGAAGTCACAAAAACTTGACGATAAAAAATCATTTCAAAGACAACCAGTCATCTAAATCCAGTATAGTAACCATATCCAAGAAATCTTTCCTGGCCATTCGAAACTTAATCTTTATTAAGTGGTATGTGCTACGATAGAATATATTCGAGAATATACCGTCCACATTAACAATATTCGGTGGTTTTAACATTTATGTAATGCTGATATATCTATTGTTGTACTGCGCTTTATTGCATAGTGTGGTTTTATTCTCTTACATATGTCTTGTTTATAATGTCCGAGTCTGAAACACTACAAATAATGGAGACTTCGATGTCCGTGAAGTACGCGGGATAACGGGCTAAGAGTCTAGCGTGTTAACAGTATGAACTGAGCGGGCTAGCAGTCTAGCGGGCTAACAGTGTGAACTGGGCGGGCTAACAGTCTAGCGGGCTAACAATGTGAACTGGGCGGGCTAGCAGTATAGCGGGCTAACAGTGTGAACTGGGCGGGCTGGCGGGCCAGCGGGTTAAAATTTAAAACTTAATTTATTGAACATAAAAATGTTATGATACATTATCTGGCAGTGTGAAGTGGGCGGGCTAACAGTGTAGCGGGCTAGCAGTGTGAACTGGGCGGGCTGGCGGGCCAGCGGGCTAAAATCTAAAACTTTATTGATTCAACATGAAAACGTTATGATACATTACCTGGCAGTGTGAAGTGGGCGGGCTAGCAGTGTAGCGGGCTAGCAGTGTGAACTTGGCGGGCTGGCGGGCCAGCGGGCTAAAATCTAAAACTTTATTTATTTAACATAAAAATGTTATGATACATTACCTGGCAGTGTGAAGTGGGCGGGCTAACAGTGTAGCGGGCTAGCAGTGTGAACTGAGCGGGCTGGCGGGCCAACGGGCTAAAATCTAAAACTTTATTGATTGAACATAAAAATGTTATGATACATTACCTGGCAGTGTGAAGAGGGCGGGCTTACAGTGTAGCGGGCTAGCAGTGTGAACTGGGCGGGGTGGCGGGTCAGCGGGATAAAATCTAAAACTTTATTGATTCAACATTAAAACCTCATGATACATTTCCTAGCAGTGTGAATTGGACGGGCTAACAGTGTAGCGGGATAGCAGTGTGATCTTGGCGGGCTGGCGGGCCAGCGGGCTAAAATCTAAAACTTTATTGATTGAACATAAAAACGTTATGATACTCTACTTGGCAGTGTGAAGTGGGCGGGCTAACAGTGCAGCGGGCTAGCAGTGTGAACTATGTGGGCTGGCGGGCCAGCGGGCTAAAATTTAAAACTTTATTGATTAAACATTAAAACCTCATGATACATTTCGTAGCAGTGTGAATTGGACGGGCTGACAGTGTAGCGGGCTAGCAGTGTGAACTTGACGGGCTAACAGTGTAGCGGGCTAGCAGTGTGAACTGCGCGGGCTGGCGGGCCAGAGGGCTAAAATCTAAAACTTTATTGGTTTAACATTAAAACCTCATATTACATTTCCTAGAAGTGTGAATTGGACGGGCTGACAGTGTAGCGGGCTAACAGTGTGAACTGGGCGGGCTGGCGGGCCAGCGGGCTAAAATCTAAAACTTTATTGATTCAACATTAAAACCTCGTGAAACATTACCTGGCAGTGTGAAGTGGGCGGGCTATCAGTGTAGCGGGCTAGCAGTGTGAACTTGGCGGGCTGGCGGGCCAACGGGCTCAAATCTAAAACTTTATTGATTGAACATACAAACGTTATGATATATTACCTGGCAGTTTGAAGTGGGCGGGATAACAGTGTAGTGGACTAGCAGTGTGAACTGGGCGGGCTGGCGGGCCAGCGGGCTAAACTTTAATACTTAATTGTATCAACATGAAAACCTCATGATATATATTTTTTAGAAGTGTGACAATATGAAAACCTCATGATACTATTCTAAGAAGTGTGAAGTGGGGGGGCTGGCGTGTTCATGATTCATTAATTGAAGTTTGCGTTATTTCATCATGGCAAAGAAACAGGCACAGTTATGGACTTACAAAAGGATTAAAACAAAAACCTTTGTACTCGAGCCAACTTGTGGCGAACTGGTTAATATACCAGACTCTCAGTGCAGGGGCAGAGATTGTTCTGGGGTCACTCCTGTCAAATATTCCGTATTAAATTTAAACCATGGTCTCAACCAACCAGGGATGGTTATGGAACTGGCATCTTTTGTTTTAATAGCAAAATCTAGACATTTTTAAAACTCCTAATCCCGGCAGGCTGAAACAAACTACAGACATTAACACTTAATTTAAGTGCTTTGACCGAGTATATTCAGCCTTTGCGAACATCGTAGATCCACATCAGTCGGTGCGCATTCGCGCCGTCTGCCAAGAATCTACACTGTTTACTGCCCAACCACTGAGTATGATTCTAGTGTCCAAGCACCGAACATTGTGGAACCTGATCAACCGGCTCTTGTTGGTGCCTATTGATATAAATCAAAAACGAGAACGGTGACCCCAAATTCTTTTTTGCTTGAAATGTTTCTGTTATCATATTTTAACAACATGCCAAGTTTAAAGAAATTCTATTGAACAGTTTTAATTTTGTCTATATGCCTATATGAAAACGCCCGAAAACGTCATTAAGGGTTAAAAATAAAATATCAACCATAAGAGTTTTTGTCGTCTTTTTATTCATGGACAGTAGTGAAATGATAGTTGTTGGTTTATCCGAACATAATTATGAAATAAAAATGTGACAAATATACCGACAATGAAATATCTCAATCAACATACTGCTGTCATTGATTCCCAGTTTTGCGGCATTTTCCGCAATTTCTGAATCTATATCACTAGGATATATATAATCTGCCGTAAATCAGTAGGCCTAATGGTTGAGGATAAGATCCTAAAATTGTGGGATTTTTTTACGAAATGCAACTCATTCCAAAAATGCAAACATCATTTTTGATCATCTGGACGGATTGTTAACCTCTCCTCTATTTTGTACGATTTAGACCCCAGGTGCCATTTCGGACAACTTTCAGGCTCAGGCGGACACCAGTTCTTGGTATAACCACCCACATTCCGCAAGCTAGTTGGTTAACGTCCTTACATGAAAATACATGTAATCACTATGGTAGCCTCGAACTCAGAGCTGCAATAAGACATAGTGAGGAAACTCTGATGGTACATCTGTCGGTATAAGTATGCCGTCGCTTTGTGGTTTTTCACAATTTGACATTCGTAATATAGTGCAGGAAGTACAGAAGATGGCCCATTTCAGAAGCATACCTGGATCTTTTATGTGTCAGGTGTAATGCACCGATACACGGGACCTCGCTTTAAAGTCCCATCCGAAAGACTGTTGGTAATGTTAGGGAGGAGCGGGGGGTCGAACTCAAACCCCTTGATTATATATACAAATGTATGTATTTAACCACCAGACCACAGATCCGCTCCTAAATAAATCGCCAGATTCCTAGATGTCCTTATGTTTATGGACAAGCTTCTGTCATTGCACGAAGTATACACCTATGTATGTACCTCTGGTGCATCTTCTGCTTCACTACATGAGGTTCTACATTTGACTGCCCTACTACTAAAATCTTATGTTGCAGTGTTTTTTTTCTGTTTCAGTTAAGATCGTTTTTTCTGTATACCATGCATCACTTAAATATCAATACGGATTTAAAACCATTTAGTGTACTCTCAAGGATCGTGTATACTATATGAAACAATCATTGTTAGCCCGCCGAGTTCACACTGCTAACAAATGCATCATAACGCTTTAGTGTTAAAATAATTAAGTATGGAATTTAGACCACTAGACTGCTAGCACATTACACTGTTAGCTCACCGAGCTTATACAGCTAGGAAATGTATAGTAAGGTTTTTATGTTGATTCAATTAAGTTTTAAAGTTTAGCCCGCTGGACCGCCAGCCCGCCCAGTTCACACTGCTAGCCCGTCACACTGTTAGCCCGCCCACTTCACACTGCCAGGTAATGTATCATGAGGTTTTAATGTTGAATCAATAAAGTTTTAGATTTTAGCCCGTTGGCCCGCCAGCCCGCCCAGTTCATACTGCTAGCCCGCTTCACTGTCAGCCCGTCCAATTCACACTGCTAGGAAATGTATCATGAGGTTTTAATGTTCAATCAATAAAGTTTTAGATTTTAGCCCGCTGGCCCGCCAGCCCGCGCAGTTCACACTGCTAGCCCGCTACACTGTTAGCCGTCAAGTTCACACTGCTAGCCCGCTACACTGTCATCCCGTCCAATTCACACTGCTACGAAATGTATCATGAGGTTTTTAATGTTCAATCAATAAAGTTTTAGATTTTAGCCCGCTGGCCCGCCAACCCGCCCAGTTCACACTGCTAGCCCGCTGCACTGTTAGCCCGCCCACTTCACACTGCCAGGTAATGTATCATGAGGTTTAAATGTTGGATCAATAAAGTTTTAGATTTTAGCCC